TTATGAGCGACAAGATGCAGTCCTCGAAAAAGACAGCAGGTGACAAGCTCCTCCGCGTCGGGAGGCAACGCGCTGTGCCAGAGCATCGGTATCTGACGCCCGCCGTGAAACGGACATTTAACCAAATTGTGACATTTACCCTCTTGCAATTTAACCTTCCCCTCACCCCCATCCTGACCTTAACCAGCTTGCGCATGCAAAGCTCTGATTGTTGACGCGCTCCAGACATCTGCGTCCTGAGCACGGCCACAGTAACATTATCAAATTAGGTGTCACCACCTCAAAAACAAATTTAACACGTGATCGTTCATGTCGGCTCATTTCCTTTCGTGTTTTCTGTCTTTTATTTGTGCCTGATGCTTTTTGCTGCTGTGGAGCGGGGCACATCACCTGTTTTGTCCTCCGGTGACACACCTCACTGGTGCGTCCGGCGCGCAGCGAGCACTCCGCTGTTTTTGCGGTCAGTAGATCTTTTAGAACTGCAGTTCAAAGGTAACTCATAAGGTGAATATATATGAACCCAGGTAGCAGTTTCTCTTTAGGATTGAGAGGAGATGTAGGAAGATAATAAACAGAGACAGGACAGAAAAATAGTCAAATAAAAACAAGTTAGTTTTTGTACCTGCTGTTGCAACAAACAGACACCATTGAAGGTCATCAGAAATGAGGAACAGAAAATGAAATAATTATTTTAATGTTTAGAGCAGCAGGAACTCTGAGAGGCTGCAGGTGCATCAGTAAGTTTGTGGCCGCTGCGCAGGGGGAGGGGGGAGAGGGCTGAAGCGGAGCAGTATAGATGCAGAAACTACCGTTGTTAAAAGAGATGTGTTTAACTTTGAAAATGTGGGCGCAATTTTAATTGTCAAAAACTCCAGCGAACCAACCGACCCCCCGCGCCGCTTTGGGTGTATGACGTCATCAACGACTAGTCAAAGTCGACTCGATTTTCATTACTTGGCTGTCGACTTAAAAAAAAAATTAAGTCATGCAGCCCCTAGTCCCAACCCACTTCAGCGTCTGATAAATAAAAGTTTGTTGCAGTAATGGTAACTGCGAAACAACACTAGCCCAAGCTATTGCTAATGCTAGTCTGAGCTAATGTCCTTGTTGGATGGGAGGGAAACAACAAAGACTCAGCTTCCTACGGTGCCCGTTTGGTGACAGTGAGGAAAAAAAACTCGTGGCCACGAGATACTTAATGCGTGGGAACGAGTTAATAACTCGTGGCCACTAGTTATTAATGCGTTCCCATGACATATTCATGCGTGGCCACGAGATACTTAATGCATTCCCATGAGTTATTCACTTGCGGCCATGAGATAGATATGTATCTCGTGGCCACGTATTTATAAGTCATGTCCACAAGTTAATAACTCGTTCCCACGCATTAAGTATCTCGTGGCTACAAGTTATTGTTTTCCCCTCAATGTCACCAGAAGGGCACTGTATCTTCCAGGTTTTGTTGGAAATATCCAGACTTTGAATAAACGCCAGATAGATGCACAACCTGATGTTCTTGTCCTCTTCCTTGTTTGTTCATCCTCCCACCCTCACACAAAACAAAGTTTCTAGCTTCAGGCATCAACATTGAGCCATTGACGTAAATGTCCAGTCAGCATGGAGCTCATTTAATAATCGGGTCCTGGCCGAGTGGGCGGGATAAACCATTATTGCAGGGCTTTATTATGGATTAGGGTTTGGCCATTTATCAAGGCTCCTGGGCCATTTTGAGCCCCAACATTTGTAAAAAAAAATACTTTTTCTACGACATCTTTAATAAAACAATTCAAAGCTACGGTTATCACAGATGTCCCACATAAACCACACCTATCTCATCCTATTTTGTCACTAATATTTAATAATCTATAGACTCAATATTTTCCCTCATGCTGAACTTTCAATAAATTCTACCCCTTTTCCCCCAAATAGAGAGTAAAGACAATGAAAACATTTATTTTTAGTATTTTTTTCTTTTAGACAGACGTGTGGCGTTTTGAACAATAACATATTTGTTTATTCTTCAGGAGCGTGAACGAAGGTCGCCCCCGTTCAACCATTTGAGGATGCATCCATTCGCTGAGGGAGTCAGTGCTCTGCAGATCTACTGTATGAAGGAAGGGGTCAAGGTGAGAACTGTTAAATAAGAATTACCATCTTCTTTTTACAAATAAAATGATATTTTTAGTGTTAAACATTCTGTTTTACTTCACAGGACGTGTGCATACCAGACCTCATCAAACTGCTGGACATCCTTGGAGACAACGGGGTAATTAAGTCAGTGCATAAACGTGGAATCTGAAAAATGGGTGCATTATTTATTAAATTGCTTCTCTGTTTTTGTGCAGAACTTGAGGAACGAGGAACAAGTGGCTATCATTCAGGCTAGCACTGTGTTGTCTCTAGCAGAAAAGGTAGTAGAAGAAATAAGCAACCTGATTTTTTTTCTAAAGGATTTTGAACAGCAGTAGCTAAAGATTTGCTGCATGTCGCCCTCTAGTGGATTCAGCAGATAGAAGGCACAGAGGCAGCTCTGCATCAGAAGATGATGGACCTGGAGATAGAGATGGTGGGTCACAACAAAACTACTCATTATGACACTTTATTTTGTGAAAATTTAACATGTTTTACTGACAGATCATTAATTTAAATGATTTATGGTTACAGAAGGTGTAGTGAATGAAAGAAAATGTCACAAAATATGCAAACTTACTTTGGTTTGATTCAATTTATTATAATAAATAACAAATATTCCCTAAAATAGGAAACAAAGACTTTGAAAATATCTCCTCTACCTTAACGTTTCTCACTGAGTACCTCCAAAGTAACATGTGGTACAAACAAATTGTGACATCTAATCCTGAATTCCTTTTCTTTTCTTGCTTTTTTATTTCTCACTAATCACATCTGCTATTGCAGAGTTCACGTTTCCCCTAAAATCTCTGCATGTGTAAAGAAATATCAGTAGTTTTCTACATTTTATGACAGGTCTACAATCTAAAGGCATAAATTATGATTTAAAAAGAAATGTCTTAAAATGTGGAAAATACATACTCTGCAAAAAATGTGTTCTTTTTGTTAAAATATTACATGTTTTACCTTAATGTTGAGCAGGCAAAATAATCACAATAAAAACATATTGGGGGAAAAAAATCCCATTTTGCGGTGCCTGTTAATTTTTTTCCTTCAAATTGAGGATGTTGGCTCATATGACAAAACATTTAGGCACATCTGGTTTAAATAAAGCCTCATAATCTGGTAGTTTTGTAAAAATTCAAACAACTCCTTCTATAATAATCCCTGTCACTTTCTCACCACGTAGGAGATGTTCTGTAAGCAGAAAGGATACCTAGAAGAAGAGCTAGACTACAGAAAACAGGCCCTGGATCAGGCCTATATGGTAAACTACAATACACGTTGAGCACTATTTATTTTCATTTGAAGATAACATCTTGGAGTTAAATCCATAACCATGTTCGGTGAAGGTTTTGGGGTTAGTCAGGTGTAAAACTTTTCTCTGCTCTTCTTCCCTCAACAGCAAATCCAGGAGTTGGAAGCAACGTTATACAACGCTCTGCAGCAGGACAAAGTTTGTATAAGAACACAAGGATGAGACGTGTGACTTAACATTTAACCTGTCACCGTCAGATAAGCTGATCCCTCCTCTCCAGGTGATAAAGTACGGTGAGCCCCTGAACGAGCTCCAGAGGGATGAGCTGCGAATGGCTGTGGAGAAGCTGAGGAGGCAGATGCTGAGGAAGAGCAGAGAGTACGACTGCCAGATTCTCCAGGAGAGGATGGAGCTGCTGCACCAGGCCCACCAGGTCCGTCCGTCACTAACATCCTGTCCAGTTGCAGCCGCGCTGTCTGAGTTGACTGTTTTGTGTTTCTGTGCTGGATTGATCTGACATTTTGTCTTTTTTTAATTCAAACTAATTTGCAGAGAATCCGCGATCTTGAAGACAAAACAGAAATCCAGAGGAGGCAAATTAAAGACCTGGAGGAAAAGGTAGGATGTCGATATAACAAAAACCTAAATGTGTCTAAATGTTGCTACATAACATGTGTTTTCACTCCTTCTGTTACTAACACATGACCGAACGTTCCCCTTGATTCTCTCACATCTTTATCTTTTTTATCCTTTTTTCTAGTTTCTCTTCCTATTCTTGTTCTTTTCTCTTGCCTTCATCCTTTGGCCTTGAAGTCTTTAGAGTGTCCTGCAGAGGTGAGTCCTGCTGCGTTTCTCTTCAAACCACCTGCTCTTTTCTGCACCTTAGTCCAATTCGTTGCCACTCTAGGAAAAAGTGGGAATATTCAAAGAACTCTTAAAGATCCAGTAGCTCCACGCTCATCTGAAGTTCATTTTAAGAAATGTTGAATTTACTTCACCAAGTTGTGTCAACTGGTTCCGCTAAATCTAGTTGCTTAAATGAAAACAGTAATATACACTCACTGGCCACTTTATTGGGTACACCTTGCTAGTACCTGGTTGGACTCCCTTTTGCCTTTGTCCTTCATGGCACAGATTCAACAAGGTACTGGAAACTTTCTTTGGAGATTTTGGTCCATACTGACATGATAGCATCACACAGCACCGCTCGCACATCCATGATGCGAATCTCCCGTTCCACCACATCCCAAAGATGCTCTATTGGATTAGGATCTGGTGACTGTGGAAGCCATTTGAGTCCAGTGAGCTCATTGTCATGTTTAGGAAACCAGTCTGAGATGATTGGAGCTTTATGACATGATGCATTATCCTGCTGGAAGTAGCCATCAGAAGATGGGTACACTCACTGGGATCGACAATTTCTGACATTGATGTAAACCATGTTGTGTCCCCCTCTCATGAAAAAAGAAAAACTAAAACATTCCAGGTTACTAACTTTTGTGAAAAATGGCAACTACTTCTGGGGAAAGCACCGTGGCAGCTGAATCTCATTCTCCCTAAGCACGACGATGTGTGCATTAGTTAGTCATTTTTGGTTTTTCTCATTCTGTTTATCGCAGCTATGGTGATAAAACGTTTATAAATATCTTCAGCAAGCCTTGGGTGAAGATTCTTGTTTTGTTTTAGTCGTTTGTTAGCTGGCTAGCTACACGTAGCTACGTGCTGTGAGGATAGCATACATTCACTACACAGGAAACATTTGTTGTGCCAAAAAAACTAAAATATAACTTTACCTCAGATCTGTCACATGTTGACAGACAGGAGAAGTAGCTGAAGAGTTTGATACATCATTTGTGTATGGTATGCAACAGTTATGTCCTTGAAAGACTGAAAACTGATATTTTCCAATATTAATGTTAATGCTGAAATCGGCTGATATTAATGGTAGACCGATAATATCAAATATCCTTAAACTTTATGTCTGAGCAGCTAGGTTTAGTGGAACCAGTTGACGTAACAATTTAGTTAAATAAACTCAACACATCATTCCCTAGAATATATAACAATCACTTGACCCCAGTTGTCAATTTTCCATTTTGTCTTTATCTATAAATATTCAGATTTTTATTGTCTTTCTAACATCATTCTCAGTATCTTCAGTCCCCATTTATCTCATTTCATGCTATTTTTATTCCGTGTCTGGGATGCAGTTATGCATTCAGCAAAAAAAAATAAAAAAGTATTGTTCCTATTTTTAAACTAAACTTTTTCATGCAAAATCATCACTACCATTCAAAAGCTGTTTGACTGCGGACGCTAGTGGCAATAGTGTATTACACATAAACCTCCAATGTGATAAGACTCTTATTCTTATCTTATAATAGAGCTTTTTTTATTTGTTTATTTTAGAGTCAAAGTACAAATGTGACAATCTCTTAAACAAAAAATAGGTCCAAAATGTTATATTTTTATGCCTAAAGATGAATTTTTTCAGAATATATTTGGACACATTTGATCATAGTTCCTGCATTCTGATTTTAAATTAGAGCCAATTTCATGAAAAAGGACATTTTAGTTTTACAACAGCAGAATTTTGGCTCCTTTGTGCTTTTTCAGATTTTTTTTTTACACTTTAAGAAATTAAATGTTGAAAAAACTTAACCAAGTTATGTCAGCTGGTTAGTAGCTTAAATGTAAATAGTAATATACATTTACGCTTAACATAACAACATATATCAATGTAGACAGCTCTTCATTTAAACATCCAGGTTTAGGGGAACCAGTTGACATAACTTGGTTAAGTAGAGTAAAGTCAACATTTTATTTCTTACAGTGTAGTGGAATTAAAAGCTACTTTGAATGGTCTCATGTGCTAAATTTGACTAATTTCTGCCCAAACTTGTGGCTTATCTGTAGAACTCTAACTCTGGTAACAATTTTAGCTGCATCTCACATTTATGTAGAGGTTTTAATTTGTGTTGAGGGTCAATGTTTTAACAGTCTCTTTTCTTTTCCAGGTCTTACACGAGCTTGTGGACCCCGTGTGGGACTTTGGTGTTATTTACGTGTTGGACAAGCTGAAACAGTCCGTGTAACAGTGACTGTGTCGTGACACCACTGACTCCTGGTGGTGTTGGTGAATTTGATTTGATCACACGTGAGACTTTACTTTCATGGCTCTCGTTTCAAATGGGCTAGAGCATTTTCTGGAATAAGATGAAAATATATTTGTTTTTCCTGCAGAGAAAGACGCTATAAGAGCAGCTTAAAAAACATGCACCCACACAATTATATCGACACATGTTTATGAACACGCATGCATATGCAACTGCAAAACAAACACGCTTTGACAACTAAAAACCAAAGCCTGGGAAATGTTCTCTCTGCCATGCAGAGACCAGCATTCGGCCACAGTGGGAACAGAAACAGAAATCTCATGAACAATGCGGAAGACAGCTGCAGCCTTTCACACTTTTACATCAAATTCCTTTGCCATCCAAATCTGTGAGAACGTTTTTCTACGAATGCAACCTCTCGGCGAGTAAAAAACATGCTGACTCAGGGCCCACGCGCGCAGTAGCTGTCGGACTGGTGCTGACCTCAAGTCAGATAACAATAACAAACACTCGGGACGCAGCGTCCCACCCCACCTGCCGTCACTGCTCTCAGAATGGTGCTGACACACACCGCTTGTGCTCTCCAGCTATCTGGGAAACGACGTGTGTACAGACGCTAAAGAGGGATCAGGGACACTCAGGTTGATGCGTCATCACTGGACTCAGTAAAAGGAGATGGAAAAAGTGGAATGACATCCTCTGATCCAGCTCCGTTTGGATCCCCACAGGAAGAAAACTACATATTGCTGAACTGCTTTCATGATGTTTGAAAAGCCAGCAGACTTTAGCAGCGGCCCTCTGGTTGTCTTTTTTACTGTCTCCCACCAGGATTTCCAGAGGGAGGTGAAAACTATAATTTGTTGTAATATATGCATTGTGAATATGTACATGAGTGTGGATTATCTCTTGTAGTTTCTCTTATGATTTTTTTTTTGTGAATAGGACTTTTTTTTACTCTCTGAAGCAGCTTGAACAGTTATTGTACTTAGCGGTTTATAAATTGCTTGTTTCATTGTGGTGATAGCTGCAAAGAGGAGCTTTATTCCCTTGAAAGTTTATAAATGAGAAAGTGTTGGAAAACGACTGTGGTTAAAAAAAGAAAGAAATGTTTGCCCCTACTGACTTTTTTCCCCTTTTTACCACAAAAACTACTGGATTTATGATTCAGTGTTCTAAAGTGTGTTGCATTGCTGCTACGCTGCAGTGGATGCTACAATCTAAGAAAAGAAATGTTGAATTTACCAAGTTATGTGAACTGGTTTCACTGAACCTAGCTGCGTATGGATATGGATACATACTACCTTTTACATTGAAAGCAGAAATCTGGAGTTTTTTTCTCAGCGGGCACCATCTATGGGCGGAAAACATGTATTGCACCTTCAAGCACCCCCCACCCCCCCCCCCACACCCCCACTGTGATTAATGGAAGCAACGCCTCTTCCTGACCTCCTGCACAACGTTTTACAGTTATTATCGTTACGTTACACTGTTGATTCACAAAATCACAATTTTTAAAAGAGTTACTAGTTTAAGAAATTTCACCAACTCTGTATCAATCTTAGTACTTTTGCAAAGGCGTGCATGCTCTGTGATAGATATTTGTACGTGAGTGGATGTTTAAGGCTATTGAAAAAGCCCAAGTCGAAATCGTCCAAAGTTGACGCCAAAACTGTTTCAAATGAGCTCCATTCTTGAGCCAACACCATCTTTGTAGTTTATCCCCATTGCAGCTCTGGTTCTAGGCCTGCCCAATGTCAGTCTACATGCATAGGGCGCTGTGATTGGCTAGGCCTAAAATAAGCCAATGGTTGATCTGCTGAAGCTACAATAGAGCATGGCTAGACCAACCTTCAGAGCTTTTGCAACTGCTATGGTTTGTTTAGCTGGCTAGTTCATAATTCCTGAAACGGAGAACACTCAGGATTGCTGGAAACAGTTGATGTAACTTGGTTGAGAAAACATCACTTCAACATTTCATTTCTGTGTGGTTTTCAAAACTGTAAATATTTCTATAATCATTTGAAATTTTGTGCATCCAGTCTGTTGGATTCAAATCTTACAGCTAATGTCCTAAAGAGTATCAAATTAATTCCAAATAATAGACTAAAACTAACCCACAGCCTTCAAATCTAGCAGGTTTTTATTTCTCTTTTTCTAACCAAAACCTCTTTGATACTTACTTTTACTAAACTGTACCGGCTACATAAGGGTCCATTTCAATAGAGTGAAACAGGAGAAAGTGAATGCAATGCTCCACCTGCTCCACTTCTTGTCCATTAAGCAAGCTCCGAGCCCAGAGAATGAAATATTTACCAGCTTGTTCTCTGTAAAGTCGAGCATCAGTAAAGGAATCTGCCATCATTCTGACCCCATTCATATACTCAGGCTCTAAGTGGGATCTCATTACACTGCTCTCAGTTACTACAACTACTCCATTCACTTTGCTTTATCAAGGAAAATGCCTGTTATCAGAGTTACTATGCAGAGTTTGTACTTTGCTGCTAACAGGCAGTTTATTTAGTTAAAAAATGTCCTTAGTCTTAATTAAAGGTCCAGTCAGTAAGGGTTTTAAAGTGAAATAATCACAAATAAGTCTAACGTCCCAATCATGTTGGAAGGAAGGGTCTATTGCAGGGATATTCAATTCCGGGTCTGGAGGACCAGTATCCAGCACGTTTTTGTTTTAACTCTGTTTCAACACACCTAATTTAAATCAGCAGGTGCTGCACAGGTGACTCAACCACTGAATAAAGTGTGTTGGAGCAGAAAAACCACTAAAACGTGCTGGATACCGGCCCTCCAGGCCCAGAATAGAACACTGCTGCATGGCCTATTGCAACAGATTTCATTCTCAGTTGGCCGAAGAAGGATGTAGCTTTTAGCACAGTCCCAATACTCACACTGCAGCCTACGGCCCTCTACGAAGTGCACTTGGTGGAAGTTCATGTAAGGCTTTGATTGTGTAGTAAAAAAGTGTGCACATAATTGCAGAATTGAGATGGTGAGCAATGCTTCATTGACCTGTGCACTGTGTTGTATCTTGGTGACTCTCAAATGGGGATGCCAGTTGCTATTTGAGCTAATTTGCTGCCGGAAATGATATTGCAACAAGGAAATACCCACCAGTACCATTATCAGTTATTATGTGCCAACAGATACGTAATGCATATTTTTAACAGAGAAACTTTTGATCATAGACAATAATTCAATATTCAGGAATTCAGTACAATAGTAACCTAAACTCCAAAATATATTTTCAAAAAGGGCATCTGAGCTGTTTATCCACTTTCTCAAATTTCCCACACAGCAATGGATTGTGGGTAATACCCTTCGCCGAAGTCTGCACCGATGAGGACCTTGGCGAAGTGCAGATCAAGGGTGCAAAAAGAGCAATTAAGGGGTGCAAAGGTGAAAGTGTGAGTATTGGAATAGGGCGTATGTTTAAAATCTGTACCACCTCCATACTTCCTGGTTCCACAGCCAATCACACGTGAGCCAAGTTTTAGCCGACAAACGCTGCTGCGCCTGCATTTGTAATCCGACACGCGGATAGCAAACAGCAGCATCATTGTAGAAAGAATGTTAGCCATTAAAAGACGTGGCCCAGAAGTTATTACCTGTAACCCTAAGAAGCCACTGCATCTTTCTTGTTTTACTCTAATATTGGGCAAAGAAGACTAGAGGCTAACGTTGAGCTAATAATGGTAATGATGAATTAGATAAAAGTTGGCTTTACAGTGAAATGTATGAATCTACTTATCAACCTATTGTGTCTGACCCAACTTCATTTGCCATCTAGAATCTTCTGGCCTTAATCCGTACCTGGCAACCACCATGAAAATCACAAAGGAGGTTGGAGGGTGGGTTTCACCAAAACTTGTTTGTTCTGATTCATCAACTGCAGTACCCACATGTGACCACAAGAAGTCATTCTCTCCTAATGCACCTTTAAATGTGCCACATATAAATGTAGGATAACGTTGCAATCCTCTCAGTAACTAAATGCCACATTTTTCACTCCATAGCATGCTAACATGCTAACAAGACCTTGATGTATTTTCTCTTTTATCTCCATGATCTCTATGATTGTGTGTCACAAATATACATCACATGATTTATTTTCAAATTCAGAACCAATGATTTGTTTGTCTTCCATTAATAAAACCCCACATTATTTTATTTTAGGTTTTTTAGTAAGCAGAAAAAATGGAATAAAAACCTTTGAAGATTTTTAGGGAAAGAATCATGACATGTGACTAGTGCATCTAATGTTTCTGCTGTCTGTACATTTTCTTTTTCTTGGAGAACAAGAGCAAAAATATGTTTATTTGTAATATTTTCCATATATATATATATTTATATATATATACATAAATATTTTTTCTTGTATTACAAACTGCTATGTATTCCAGGAGGGTTAAAAAGTGAGGATTTTTTTAAAATATTGTTTGTATAAATGAATGTATGTATATGTCTTATTCACTTTGTTTTTCAGTAGTAAATATGATTTTATAATTTGAACATTTATTTATCGCTATGGAAGCAAACTTAGCATCAAGTTTGTTTTAAAAGCAAAATCATTTTCATGCTACATTATTTTTTTCTTGATTTTATTCTGACTTATTTTACATTGCACTTTATTGTCAATCCCTATTATTGTCCAGTAGCTGTTATAATTTCGTGTCCTAGAAGACACACATGAAGCTGTGGTTAACTGTTATTTCCCACTCACTGTAACTCACTGTAACCAATAGAAAAAAATCTACTACAATCAGCATTAATGAGTATTTTATCATTAACAATGAGGAAAACCTAAGTCTGCATCACAAAACAACATTTTATGAGATTTTAGTTTTCGCTGCCCTGCAGTTTGGTCATGGAAATGCTCCGAATTAAACAATTCCAATAAGTTCCTCAGAATAACAATTGTTGGATTTTTTTTAAGCCTATTTATATTTAATGAACTGTTTCTCCAGTTTCTGTTGTTGTCCGGCTCTCTGAAAGGATGTTTGTCATGACCGCTCTTCTATCTGTTCTCCCTTCATTACTCATGCAGCGGTCTGTTAGACTGAATAACTGCCTTCTACAACTACAAAAAGGGAAATAAAGTTTGAAATGAACAACAAAAAGAGTTATGTCTTACTATTTTCAATACATTTTTTGAGTTTGCACAATTTTCACTTTTAGTCTTAACTCTTGACGACGAGGTTATTGTAAAAGGAAAAGCATTAAAATTATGTAATTCTTGGACAAACTTTTTGAAAATCCAGGCCACTACATTGTTATTTGGTGGTTCAGTTTGCAAGTCAACGTTCAGTCTGGTGAAAAATACACAATGACCTTGATGTGACTCTATGGCAGCTTGCACTTACTGGGAGCCAGTTTAACCTCATTTCAGCAGCAGCTGCCAAATTAGCTGAAGCATCCCAGGAGGATGCAGCTGCCCCGTCTGCTTGTAGAAACAGATAATTTTTCTATTTGTTTTATGAAAAAGTGAATTTAAACCAAACATGCCAGCTATTTCTAGTGAATCAAACAAAACCCATGAGCTACCAGAGGTGTAGCCCTCTGCAGTCTAATAAATATAATACAGTTTATTTTAATAATCCAAGAATATTTGGATATTCTCTCTCATTGTATCTTTAATAACTGTCTTAAAACTGTCTTCTCAAACCACCAGTGAGTCGTGGCAAGCTGCTGCTCATACTGAGCCATGTTCTGTTGGAGGTTTCTTCCTTTTAAAGAGGAGTTTTCCTCCCCACTGTCACTACATGCTTGTACCAAATGGGGGTTGTATTACCGCATGTCTCAGACACAGAATGTCAATGACTCCATGCAACCTGCTGGGTTTCCTTAGGAAACTTTTAACTAATCAGCTTAATTAACTGAACTCAAAGCACTAAGTTGTTTCAGTTGGGATGTCTACTTTGTAAAGTGTCTTGAGACAACTCTTGATGTGATTTGGCACTGTGTATATATACTGAACTAAAACAAAATATATTTTACTAGTATAATTCTGAAATGTATTTAATTTGGTTTTAAAATCCATTTTACTCAACAATAAAGAGTGTGTCTTAGTTCTACTAAGGTTAATCAAAATGAAATCCTGTCAACTTTTAAAGGTTTCAGTTGTGAAAGGCTTCTTGAGCCAAATCCATGAAGACCAGAGGGTGTGAATTTGCCAAGCTCGTTCCAGTCTGTCATCAGTACCTCTTGCCTGAATTCACGGTGGCAGTGTGACAGCGTTGGTTTACTATAACTAGCTAACTCACCTTGCAGAGCCCTGCTTTGTTCCAGAGGTAAAATCTCAATAATTCAGAGAAATATCACTTATTTTTTAGTTAAGCCACAATAGTGTAGTACAAGTACTTAATTACTGTACTTAAAGTGACAATGTGTGGTTTTTACCATTAATCTCTGGAAATATCAATTGAAATGTTGTAGTAAATGAATTAAAAGATGCCCAATTGTTGAAAAAATCGGTGGTTTCTCAACATATTGTCATGATCCTGCCATGTCCTGACCTCCATGCTACCACCATCCACCTCATCAGCCTTCATGCATCACATGTGGTCCCCTAATCAAGCTCATGCCACACACCTGCCTCACCAGCTATACATTCCACAGTCTACCACCAGCACTCTGCCAGGTTATTGAACGCGCCTGCTAGTAGATCTTCCAGCCGTTTCATCTTGCCTGATCATTGCCTACAACCTCGTTTCACGCCTCACCCTCACCAAGAACTCTGCCTGCCTCCACGACCTATGCCTGACCATGACCACATCCTGAATCTATCTTGTTCTGATCCACGCCTGTAGTTGACTACGTCTCTCGCCTGCTCCTCGTATCTGCTTCGTATCATCCTGGTTCCGACCCACGCCTGCCCTCGACTCTGCTCCGGTAACATCTCAATTCAATTCAATTCAAGTTTATTTATATAGCGCCAAACCACGACAAGAGTCGTCTCAAGGCACTTCACATAATAAAAATTCCAATTCAGGTCAGTTCATTAAGCCAATCAGAAATAATGTGTCCTATATAAGGAACCCAGCAAATTGCATCAATTCACTGACTAGTGTCAGTGACTATACAGCAATCCTCATACCAAGCAAGCAAGCATAAAGCGACAGTGGAGAGGAAAACTCCCTTTTAACAGGAAGAAACCTCCAGAGAATCCTGGCTCAGTATAAGCAGCCATCCTCCACGACTCATTGGGGATCTCCTCTTAGCTTCAGGCTAATAAAGACTGTTTTCTATTGCCTACTGTGCTCTGGTGTCTTACGGTCCTCAGCCAAGCTTCACGACACATATCACCATAAAAATCAGTACTAAAATACATGGGAGCGGGTCTAAGACTCTGACGCCATGTTGGATGCCATGTTTCCTTCTACGGAGGTCTGTGAGGACAAAATTCATTTACTGATTTGTAACAAATGGTTACAAAACTTTCACCACTAATAAACATTGTTGCTTTACACATTTACCTCTTCTCTCATTGCCAGTGTAACGTGAGGAAATATGGGTTTTCTGTCACAATGGTGGTGCTGGACTCAGCTGGGTCAAAGCTGGGTCATTGAGAACTTTCACCCACAGATTAAGACCTGAACGCCAGCAAGTCTGGGAGGAAACCATAACATCAGCCACCTGCAGTCTACCAGAAGATGTGTTTCCATGAGTTGTACCCAGACCAAGTCAAAACATAAAGTTTAAACTTCTTTTTTTGATTTTAATGTTAGAGTAACCATTACCATTTTGCTCATTATAAATGTGTTTTAATCAAATGAATGACTATTATGCTTTTGGGTAATTATAAGAGATTTAATGAATCCATTCTTAAATAGTGTTGAGAATGTTTGTTACTGACCTTCACACACACCCAAGCACACAAACATTCATACACACCCACACACATCTGCTCACAGTAAACTCCAAACACATTTGCTGACGAACACGTTTGCTTTGAGAAGAGAAAGGTTTTTGGTAAGTTTGAGTCTTATGATTTGAGTTCGTGTTGGACAACGAAAGAGAACAGACCTGAAAACCAAAGGGGGGGCAGAGCCGGTTGGCTCGTTCTTCCCCCCTTTCACGCTGTTTCTGTCAGCCAGACAGAATAGCTGAATCGCGACTTCTAACGCAGACTCATTACCGAGTCTTTTGATTTCTGAGTGAATTAACTTAAGAAAGCGCGTCGACAAAACATTTTACCATCAACGTGTACCGAGGGCAACTCTGGACCGGTTCCGTTCGACACCTACGTCTTCCCTGTCAGCCGTTGAGTGTCATCTGGATGAACCACAACATCCTCCACGGCCCGGATCCGAAAGAGGGTCCACAAGAGTTTGGTGAGACAGAACACGGTGTTTAGCGTTTGGATGCATCTTTTCCAACTAAACCTAAGTTTATTCAAACCATCACTTTTCACTCAGACACCTGTTTCTTCCTGAAGCAAAATCACCTCATGTTCAATTCTCACCACACTTTGCACCCACACGCATCCATAATCACATCATATCACTCTCACAACTCACGACATTCTCAATCTTCATAAATTCACCAGAAGGTCTATTTGAGCAAGAACAACATATCAACTGTTAAAGATTGTCCCACAAAGTTGCCAATGTGATTGTTATTTCCTGTTTGTCAATTTCAAAATCATTAGTTTAATTTGAAGAATTAAAACTTTTAATTGTCAAACTGGTTTCCTCATTGAACTGAAACACAGACACTCAGATATTATCGGCAGTTTATGGATGAAAACAACCTTTGAGTCTTCTTAACAACAAAACTGAGTAAAGACAGTTTCTCCTTACAATATGACCAGCCGGCCAGTTTTACAATATGGCTGAGCAACCAAGTTTTTCTTTACACCAGTGATGAAAGGGAATCTGATGTTCTTGTTGTTTTGCTGGAGGTTGCACCCCCATGGATTTGTTTTTTGCCGTAATGGCCATCCGTTGGTAAGGTCTTATTTGAACCCAAAAATAATGCTTGCTTGCAGTGATTTTAGGTATGTACTGCCCCTTTTTGTCAGGGAAAATACACACTGTAACTTTAAGTAACCTTTTTCTTAAGTTCAACAGTACATTTTACTTTTACGCCGCTACATTTCCCGTTAATGAAAACTTTTGCTATTTAAAGGCTTTTACTTAAGTCAAAAATGTCTTGGATATTTTCACTTTTACGTAAGTATTTTTACCCCTTAAACTATTTCCTCCACCACTGGTATTTTGCATGTCAGTAACAATCTGAAAAATGTACCTTTGACAGTGACACCCCCCCCCCCCCCCCCCAAAAAAAAAACCCCCAAAACAAATAAAATCAACGGTTATGACAATGCTGGCAGCTGAAAGGCCAAGCTTGCAGTAAACAACTGTGTCCCAGAAGCAAAACAACAAAGCCAGGCACGGGGGGCATGCTGTGTACTCTGCCGCATCACATTTAATTCTTTCTAAGGCAGCTGAGCTAGGTGCTGTCAGCATGTAATGTGTAAACTTCTAAAACACCTATACGTGTCAAGGATAAGAGGAGAATTTAATGGATTAGTCAAGATTCTCCTCATTTAAACTTTTAATGGATTTAAAATTTTAATATCATCAAAATGATCCTGAAAACTGCTTTTTTTTTCTTTTCGGGGACCCAGTCAGGTGTCAGTTGCTAGGTATGAGGAAATTATGTCATCTTTGATTTTCTTGGGGTCCTTGCGTCTCCTTCCGGTTTTATTTTCTGAACTCAGTTGTTGGTCTTGCCTTTCTGCTAATTTGCCACAACTGCTCAGCATACCTGTTCCTGATATAAATTACCCACATGACCCACAAACCAACACGTGCTTAGGGTGTGAGAATGTGTTGCACAAACACACAAGGAAAAAATGTTCCATTTGACTCAACATGCCTTTTTTTGTAAAAACAACAAAAGCTTTCTCTAACTTGTGAGAAAATGCGGATGAGCTGGTTTGTTACACAACTATCCTCCTGCTTTATGGGTGATGCTGTTGACTCCTGATCTTTTCTCAGGCCTCAGCAGTCTGAAACCTGCTGGAGGAAGCTGACGACGCGGTCTTGTCACATTTGAGCTGATGTAAGTTAACACATGTAGGTGTCACTGCTGCAGGGTCAGACGAGCAGAATTATCAGCTTCATCATGCTTTGAGTTGTGCTTTGAGGGCAAAGAGGAAGGTGCTGAAAGGACAGCGACACCTGTGTTGTCAGCATGGCACACACCCGTTTACGCCAAATATTGCTTCTTTCTATCTATCTATCTATCTATCTATCTATCTATCTATCTATCTATCTATCTATCTATCTATCTATCTATCTATCTATCTATCTATCTATCTATCTATCTATCTATCTATCTATCTATCTATCTATCTATCTATCTATCTATCTATCTATCTATCTATCTATCCTTTTTAATGCATTTTATTACCATCAGTTAGCTCTTATTCATAGCTGTGAGGCGCTGAGGCCACATCCTGTGCATAAAGTTCCTCTAGCTTTAACTCAAACGCCGTTTGCTACTGACACACACACACACACACACACACACACACACACACACACACACACACACACACACACACACACACACACACACACACACACACACACACACACACAGCCTCAACGCGAGTTTCAACTCGCGTCCTTCTTGGTCGGGGTTCTCCATCATGACGCAGCGCGGAGGACACCGGCTGAAACCCGAGGACGACCTCCCGGTTTATCTCGCCCGTCCCGGCTCGGCTGAGCACGTTCCCCGGCAGAAATACGGCGGCTTGTTCTGCAGCGTCCAGGACGCTCATGACAGTAAAACTATTGACTTTGATGCCCTCAGTGTTGGACAGAGAAGCTCCAGATTCCCGAGGAGCGTCAGACGAGATCAAGAGGAGAGGAGAAGCCCGGCGAACGGCAACAGGAGCCCCGATGATTTAGGAATGAGCCCCGGAGAGATGCAACCCGGAGGAGTCGAAGTGCTCCAGGACCTGGGGGATGGAAAGGTGAGCAGGTTGCTGCAACAGTGGTGGGTGGCAGCTCCTGTTTCCACAAATTCTCCTAGTTCTTTATTCTACACTGTAAGAAAGGAAATGTTGAATTAACTTAACCAGTGTGTCAGCTAGGGCCACTGATAGTTGCTTAAATGTAAAGAGTACTATACATTTACTTTGAAGAACAAGTGTGCATTATTACTCTTTACATTTAACTAACAAGGTTTAGTGGAGCCGGTTGACATTTAGATAAGTTATTCAACATTTTATTTCCTACAGTTTAGTTGCTCCTCTGTGTTGTTCAGGTAAGATCAATTAAATTAACTCCAGTGGCTTAAGTTTAAATTTTAAACATGTACTTTTCATTTTATCCCCATTTGGGATGACATAGAGAAACAAATGGAAAATGAATTTTATGAAGGTAGTGGATAATTTGCATTGAAGACAAGAAAGCAGACATACTCTCCAGTGATGACCAAGTTTAGTTGGGAGAGTTAGATCAAATGTAGCTTCTTCCAAGTTGTGGAGCATGGATTCTCTCATTTTACCCAAGCATAAAGGGAATGAATAGAGCTCCACCATCAACAAATTAAGAGTCTCGTGGGTAGACTTACAAATACTAAGTATTTTATTTCCTTGTAAAAATTCAGGCTGACTAAACCAACTGTCACGCTGAGCAGGAGGTTAGGACCCAGAACCACAGAACACCAGATCACTTAAGACAGGAATGGATGCAAAGAAATAAATCCTTTATTTAAAGGAGGGTGCTGTCAAAAAAAAACAAAAAAGAAGCTCACATGTGAGCACGGACTCGGGCAAAACTCGAGAGGGAACAGAACAACGCAGACATATACAATGGACCAACAAACACCAAGGGACAAGACAGAGTTTTTAAACACAGAGGGAAGCAATCAGGGGAACAGGTGACATGTGTGAGCAGTGAGGTCTAGAGGGAAGACAGGTGTCATCAATAAACTAAATGGAGAAGGAAAAGGCAGAGGGCAAGAAAAACCATAACCTATAAAACCCTTAATAACTAAACCTGGAAACTAAGGGCAAAGATAAACAACTAGGGACTGGCGGGGTGAGGAGGACTAATGCAAAGAAATAGGAACTACAAGCGAGTGATTAGGAGGAAACATGAGGGAAGCCTAGAAGGAGCTGGGAAACACAATAAGACACATGAAGAGAACCTGAGTGGGCTGGGGAAGTATAACGACACACAGAGCACAAGGGGACACACGAGGAGAACGCAGAGGAAGAACAGGAGGGGGCTGGGGACCAAGTGGACACAGAACATGACACCAACCCGTATTTAAGAAAAATGACATCTCAATAGTGTCAATATTTTATCATATACTGTGCCTACCTTTGTTCTCAAAGGTTTAAAATAGCATGATATGTAACCTTTCAAGGCACAGTTGGTAGTTTTGCTTGCTATTAACACCCCCTAGTGTCCATTCTTTATTCCGAGTGGTTAAACCAAAAATAAAACTTATCTCCTTGCTATGTGTTTGCATTTTTAACAACTGCTGAAATGTTCCCAGTCTTCATTAGTTTCTACAGGAGCAGTTCATCACTAAATTAAACAAGTCAGCTGTGTCCATGATCTAAAACATGGAAACATGCTGGAAGCAGACTGCAGTGCCAGGTGTGTAAGCAATGTTTTTTGAAGTTCAACAGGAGGCGGCTTGCCACTCTGAAGTTGCAAGTGTGGCATTCTGGCCACAGGGGGTGGTTGGGTTCTGAGTGACATTTCAGTAACCCTGTAAAGGGTCATTTTAGCACATAATGGCTCAAGAAAATGATTTAATAATATGAAAAAGAGGCATAGTATCCCTTTAAAAGGAACTCCAGCTATAAGGATGTGTGTGCCCTAATAAGCCACAAGTTTTCTGTTGTACCAAAACATGTTGTTGGAAACACACACAATGTTGCTGTTTATTTATAAATCTATAATATTTAGTAAATTTTTTGACATGCGTAGGACGCCATGTTTTCTGCATGCAATGCACTCTGGGGGAGATGACGTATATTGGTTGCACTTGGAAGAATAGCTGACACTAGTGTTTGTTTTGTCCTGCTCTCGCTTCATCCCGCCCTTCTTGCTCTTCATGTTGATGCTCGTTTTTTGAAACATCGCCAGTGATGTCCTCATTAATGTTTCGCTCTGGTTCAAATTGAAAAGGCTAAACAGATGGCATGTTTATGTCGCTGAACAGTCACTACAGGGTCCCAAAAGCGGCCGCTGCAACCGAGGTACAACCATATGATGTCACCACCCAGAGTGCATTGCGACGCTAACAACAATGTCGACCTACGAGGTAAACAATTTTTACAAATTTTATAAAAATGAAGACATTGAGAAGGTTTTATACACCACTTTACTATAACTGATACTAACGTTTATCTTTTAAGAACCACAAGGTTTTGTAACCTGGGTTCCTTTTAAGAGGAACGAGTATCTGTTAAATACAGATGTGTTTCAGTCTCTGTGAGGAGCTGAAACTATGTGGATCTTTGAGTTACTTCATACAATTACTGAAGGATAACACAATAAAGAACTGCAGAGTAACATGATGATGAATGTTAATAATTTTGACTAAATTGTTAATTTTTGGGGGCTTTTTCTCAGACTTTGTATTGTGATGAGTTTTAAACGTGAATTGTGTTAAGGACAGGCAATTAATAAGCCTCGGCTCAGCTAACTACGTTTTTTTTTTTTTGGTTACAGGCATTGTTCATCCTTTTTCTTTTGGTGAAATGAATGCCTCATGTTTGGTTTTTAACTGGAAACAAATTTAAACAAAACTAAACCAACAAACAGAAAACATGGTTTAGCCGGGGATAAACTTCAGGTGCTTTAAAAAAGTGTTTTACAGTTGGAAAATCCTTACAGTCAGTTATGTATTGAATGTTAAGTTCTTTCTATATTGCTTTGTGATAGATGTCTGTGGTGCGAACGGTCTTTCAGTCTATTTGACTCATTAGGATGTTTGTGTGCAGCAAAGCGAGGCTGAATGTGTGTTATTGAATTTGTGTCACATTCTGCTTTTTCTGAACACCTGATGGATAGATCAATATAATCTGTGTCACAATCTAGAAAAAAACATTCTGGTGTTCAGAATAAATGTTTCAGCATTGTGGACAGAGACAAAGACAGGGTATTGGGTGTTCAATACTACAGATAGAGGAAGATAGTCCTCTCTCTCTCTCTCTCTCTCTCTCTCTTTCTCTCTCTCTTTCTCTCTCTCTTTCTCTCTCTTTCTCTCTCTCTTTCTCTCTCTCTCTTTCTCTCTCTCTTTCTCTCTCTCTTTCTCTCTCTCTCTCTCTCTTTCTCTCTCTCTTTCTCTCTCTCTCTTTCTCTCTCTCTCTCTCTTTCTCTTTCTCTCTCTCTTTCTCTCTCTCTTTCTCTCTCTCTTTCTCTCTCTCTTCTCTCTCTCTTTCTCTCTCTCTTTCTCTCTCTCTCTTCTCTTTCTCTCTCTCTTCTCTCTCTTCTCTCTCTTCTCTCTCTTCTCTCTCTCTCTCTTTCTCTCTCTCTTTCTCTCTCTCTCTTTCTCTCTCTCTTTCTCTCTCTTTCTCTCTCTCTTTCTCTTCTCTCTCTCTTTCTCTCTCTCTTTCTCTCTCTTCTTCTCTCTTTCTCTTTCTCTTTCTCTCTCTCTCTGTCTCTCTCTCTCTGTCTTTGTTTGACTGTCAAACGAAATTTTCCCTTTTTCCCCCAAATTCTTTATTAAAGAATTTCAATATTGATTAATTCATTGTATGCAGTCACTTAACACATGAAAAATAAAGGCATAAAAACATCTAGGTCAAGCACTGACCGACATGCTCCCACCTACAAGTTTTTATTCAGTTATTTTTCTAATTTGCACTGAAAATCTGATTTTCTAGACACGGTAGTGGTTACATGAAGTGTTGCCATGTTTACTCATAGCCGTTTCTATAAACAAATTACTAAAATTAATAAGAAATTGTTTGAAAATAAATTACTACTACTAAAAATGACCATTTAATATGCAAGTGTCCTTCAGTGAGATGTTTAATCTTTGGATTTCAGACCCCAACATTAACATGAAATTATAAAATATTCCAATTCTAAACCCTAAAGATCAGAACATACACAAACATGTTTTCAAATGTGGACTTCTTTATTTTAGCAGGGATGAAATGTCCTCTCTTTGTGTCCTGAAGCTGAAATACATATTTGCAACTTCTGAAAAAATAAAATAAATAAATAAAATATGCAAAAACTGATGATTTGGGGAAGATTGACTTATGAAGACTTGTTTTATACGTGGAATGACATCATGTCCCTTGAGGCGTCATCTAACATAACCGATCTTTTCTTGTCATTAGGAAGTGTGTGAAACTGACCTTTTGTGTAAGTAGTCAGTGAAAATGTTCATGTGCTTTAATTTTAGTTTTGTAGTTCCAGCTATAAATACAATTTTGCTCTATTGAAGGTGCAAATTTTAGGTTTATCTTAAAGGAAGATTAAAGAAATGCCTCATGTTGTACTAGAATCTAATCCATCTTTTAGCAATGATGTTATGTTGTTGCAATTCTTTACGATAACAATCACAATGTTTCCTCGTGTCTGGTGAGCAATTACAGCAGTGTGTTGCTGCAGGTGGGTGGATGGGGAGTGGTCGGACAGATGTCCAGGAGAGCCTGTTGAGGGTGGAAAACTCCTCCCCCATCTTTATTTTAATGTATTCATGGGTGCAGGTAAAATACTTTACATTTAACCATATTTTTAAGTAACACAATTAAAATAACCTGCTGAGAGGTGTCTATGTGGAGTTGAAGAAAATAAAACGTTTCATTGCAGTAATTAATGCATTTGAAAAGCTGAGGTCTGGATGTTTTTGTGACTTAAGTTATTTTTCCAAACGCATTGAAGTAGATGCTTCTTGCTTGATTTTGAAACACTTAAATTGTGGGAAATTGCAGGAGCAGACTTGATGACCTGACAGTGTTTTTTGCATCCCTGATCTGCCTGCATCCCGTCT